ATCTGCCGCTGTGCAGCTAGCAAGCCATGCACAGGCGCAGGAGGTCAAAATGCTCTCAATGGTACAGCGGTACAAGGTCATTTTATTTATTTAATATATATATTTTTTGTTTATTTACTGGTATTTATTTTCCGCCCACTATGTCCTTTCTCACTTTCTTCTTTTTGATTTGTGTAGTCTTTTATTCTTTAAATCTTTTAAAATAAAATAAATCAACAAATGCACAATAAACTTCCTTTCCACATTCATACATTTGTCAGTGATTGGCTGAAGAGCATAAAACTGTTTTTTGCAACACACCTCTGGGCTGCTTTAAAGTCATACCACACTTCCCAATATTTTCTCATTGTCTACATTCATAATGTTTCAGTCAAAATTCTGCCAGACATCTTTCCGTGGACACTTAAAGAACTATCTTCCTTGTAGTTTTGCATCCACTTTTGCTACCCTTCTCTTTATTTAGGGAAACAATATGCAATATAGGAATATTAATAAAGAAAAGCCTCTATTCTCAGGAAGTCCATTCAGCAGGCAAACAAAACATTACTTTAGACTTTAACACCCAAACAGTGAAGAAAATCTGTCATTTCTGAATATGTCCAGACAGTTGATGCAATTGATGTCATTTGCATAATGAAGTAATCGACAATTTTACCTCCTTTGTATCAGTTTACATCATATGGGCAAACAATATAAATTGATGCCATTGAAAAGAAACATCAATTGCATCATTACATAAATGGTGTCCATTACATACATTTGGATTTAATGCTCAGCTTTAATGTACACCCCGTCCGTCCAAACATTCTATTAAGTTTAATTGTATACTAATAAGTAATTGCAGTATGTAATATGGGCATACTAATGCCAATCTGTACCATTGGCATTGATAAAGAAAATAATTCTATGTCTTTAATTTCTCTCCCTTTCTCCCCCGTTTTATTCTTGCAACAATCCTACGGTGGTAGGGTTAGCCTTGGAAGATACTGACGGTCCAAGTAATTATATTATTACACCTGCTGTGATAGCATCGTATGACGTGGGGTATTCGAAACCAAATTAAGCTTGTTTGACATTTCTGATATCAAAAAGCTCTCAGTGGGAAACTGTAGCATGCTAGAACCTTAGCAGGTAAATCCAAGCTCTGCTTATTGCAGACAGATCATCCAAACTCAGTGGGATTTAAGATCATGCAAGCTCACTCTTCGTGTCCTTGAATTTTTCTTTGGAGTAGCCTCCTGTGAATTCTATCCAGTCTATATATAATATTCACTATATATAAATAGATGACACTACTGCTTCACCATGATAAGCCACATCTTGATCTGAAGACTTCAGTATTTCCCAATCTTGCCAACTTCTAGATAGACGGACTTCCCATCTCCCAGGATTCTCAGCCAATATGGCCATGGCTGAGAATTCTGGGAATTGAAGTCCACACAGTTTGAAGTTGCCATGGTTAAGAAACTCTGATCTAGATCCTCATTCTCTGATTAATCACACATATGTATTTTACTTCACCAGTTATAATAGGGGGAGGACTTATTCATTTATTGTTGCTGTGCATATAGCTGCCCGTCTCAAATACATGACTCTGGGCAGCTTACAACACTCCAAAACAATATTAAAAAATCAGGGGCAAGGTAGACATCATAATATAAAAATAACCTATGTTTACTGGACTAAATGTTCCCAGACTCACCGGCAGTTTATGAAATACAACTGCCACTTTATTTTAAGGCTATCTTCGTAATCATAAGGGCTAGAAAATTCAGACATTTTTTAAAGGGACCACAGAGGTTTGAGATGGTTACAGCAATCTGAACCAATAGGAGTGTTGTGTTTATTTTACAACATATCTGTGTGCTTTTCTTACAGAAGCCTGCTCCACCCAAACCAGAGCCGAAGCCGAAAAAGGCGGCACCGAAGGTAAGGGAGTCACGTGCTTGTGTGTCCATATACCTCAACCTGAGGACGTTAGAATTGATTCCTATTTCCTTAAAGAAGTCGTCTTTTATTTTTCTTTTGTTTGCACGTATATTGATGGTATGATATAGACGATGATGTAACATCTAGTTGTACTAAGGGGGGGAAAAAACATTTTGACATGTTGGACTAGTAGCTTTTGACTATATGTCTACATTTGAAATATAAATAAATATAAAATAAATATGGATCTGAGATTCCAGCCTTATATAGTCAGTTGTTTACTTTGAGATAACTCTTCTAGTTGGATGGCCAAAGAACCAACCAGTAGCTGAGACATCTCTAAAAGAAGAAAAATTCTTTTCGTTATTCTCTTAGGGACACAGCAGTTTGAAAGAGGGTAAACACACCCTGGAGTTTGCTATGAAAATTCCTTCCGCCGAGAGCCTTTCCTATACACCTTGCCTGAGATTATGTTTTAGAAGGGCAACCCATCCCTGGCAACCCAAAATATTGTGCCAAGGCTGTTCAAGTCAGCAATCTGAGTCTGGTTTTAAAGACGTGGCATACTAAAACAGTCAACGGGATGGCTGCTTTGCAGACTTGTTTATCCGTAGGGGCCGAGTAAGATCTCTGCCCTGACCAGATCGTAACCGAAGATGGCAGATTACCTTATCTGCTCGTTCAGATTAGCCTGGGAAAACGAGATTTATCCAATAAGATGGGGGTAACGGAAATGATACGTAGTGGTTCAACTGTGGGACTTTATTGGGGTGGGGGAAGGGCAGTTTAAATCCCTACTAATCTTTAAAGGTCAGTGGTAACTTCATGATGTCGCTTTCAGGTTAAGTTACTTAGGGTTACTGGGAGAGGAAAACGAGGAGCCTAGATTCATGACTTTCCTGTGAATTCCTTAAAGAAAGGGAGGAGGAGATTAAAAACCTTTTGGAGAAGTGAACAAATCTCCTATCTTGGGATCGTGAGCTCTGAGTCCAACACGTTGATAAGGGCACCCAATTGGAAAACATTGGTGTGAAGGTGTTATATGAACAAGGGCAATCCATGGAAGTCATGTTTGTTTTGGCAGAGTGGGAATTTGTCCCATAAATGGCACTGCTGGGGCTGGTGTGAGCCCCTTTTTGAATGTGGTTGCTAATTGGGCATTTATGTTGCCTGGGCCTGTCAGACTGATTAAAAAGATTGAAGGGATTGTTGCAGTTCGGTTAACTCTTTATTCTTTCTGCTATTATGAAAACGTTATCTGGATTTAGCCCTGTGCTATATTGACTAGATTTTGTATGACTTTGAGCTTGGCCAGAGCATCAATGAAAAAGCTGGATTGTACATAAAAGTTCAAAAATTTCACTTTAATGGACCTTTGGTGATGAGGAAATGAGAGAAAGTTGTATCAAGATTCTAGCTAATTCAGATAACATAAATTAGTCTTGTAGTTGGCATTTTCTATTTTTAGGTTAAAATTGGTTTAAATTTGTAGATAGTAGTATGTAATGTATCCTAGAAACTCAGATTAACGATGTTTCCAAATAGCCATTCTTCAGACATTACAACGTACAATGGAAATGAGTTAAAGTCAGGCCAAAATGTAATCTAAATACTGTTTAGATTAATCTGTTTTCTTTTGGATTGGACCAGCTAAGAAAGCCTTTCTTTATCCAATTGAAAAGATTTGCCCCGTTTGCGTAAGTCAGAGCCCCACAGAAATCTGCTTCTGGAATTCTGGCATAGAAAAGTTATATAAAATTCAAATGCATTTTGTTTTCATTAGCCTTAACATAAACATTGATCTCTCAGGTTTTTGTTCTCCCTGCCATCCAAATATGATACTGTCTGAAAGCATGAATTAATTCTTCAATCAGCAGTATATACATTCTTAATCATTTGAGACAGTGATTTCTCGGTAGTATCCATACTTCAGAATAAGATTGTCAATACCCTTTTTTTTAAAAAAAAAATTAAATTAAAGATAATCTGCACAAGTAGAAAAGTAGCAGACCTGCGAAGGTCATAAATGCGAGGATTGTCGCAAAGTTACTTTTTCACCAGTGTCATAACTGCGAATGGTTGCTAAATGAGGCAGTTGCTAAACAAGAACTGCCCGTACTGCTCTACTCTTGGAAGATAAAGATACTAATCTAACATATGAGGGCCAGCTTTAGACATTGGTGTTTGAGGTTGGCTACTGAAAAAGGAGTGGTGGCCAAGTGAGACCTTACTGCCTCTTTGTGTATGTGTGTGATTCCCCTAACAGAGAGAAAAAGGAGGAAATGATAAGAAAGAGGACAAGAAGGTAGCAACAAAAGGGAAGAAGGGAGCCAAAGGAAAAGATGAAACTAAGCAAGAAGATGCTAAAGAAGAAAACCACTCTGAGAACGGAGATACCAAAACTAACGAGGTACTGTATATCCTGCCACCCCAAGAATCATTTCCAAATACTTGTGGTATCAACTTCATGCGATCTTTACTTCATGCTCGGCAATAGGTGAGAGGTTCACCATTTTCATCTCCTCTCCTGTTTTTAACTTAGCTTCTCCCTAATGCAAGCATGGAGGGGGCTGGCTGCACCCCCAAGCAGATAGTTATTTAGGGAAAGCCATTCTGGAGATAGGAAAGGCACGCCGCAGCCGGGAAGAATTAGTCTCGAGTTTCAGAAGCAATGGGCAGTTTAATTCTTTTATTTGCCTTTTTTTCTTTTCCTCCCCAACCAATATGCAAACATTTCTCTTTCTCCATTCTTCTAAACAGCACATTCTACTATAGGGATTTGTTCGCTCTCTTACCCCAAACTGCCACCAATATTATGCATGTATGCAGGTTTCTATTGGGCTTTATGTGTTTTTAAAAGGGATTTTTCTTCTTTAAATTCAACGCTTTCCTCTGTGTGTGTGGGAGATGGTCAGCATGATGTAATGGTATGTGGGAATGACCTTGAGGGGCGAGGGGAAGAGATGCTCCTAGGGAATGATCAGATAAAAGGGGGAGCAGCCCGCAGATGAATAATGGGAAAAGAAAGAAACTTAAAAAGGATCCACCCTAACATATCAGGCTGGGACGGTGGGAGATTTGTATTTTCAGACTGGCAAGATTCCTGTCTGGTTTACCTGGGAGGACTGACACATACGGTATCTAGAAGCTGTACCATCCCATGCTTTCAGATGGCTTGCTTACAGACTGACGGGCATTCTGCCCCAGGAGTTCGCAGTTAGGAAAAATATGGTTTGGCGCTTGAGTTAGCTAATAAGCAAGGGCTGTGGGCATGCTTCTGCTGTTCTTTGCAAGAGTGGAAGTTGGTAAACTGTACCAAATTCATTGTTTATGGGACCAGGCTGTGGTTACGCATAGCATCCTCTGCAGTGGGTTTTCTTCCTTGCATAATTCAATTTCTGTTTTTCTAAATACTAACAGGCACCAGCTGCTGAAGTATCTGATGACAAGGAAGCCAAGTCCGAGTAACAGATTTAGCCCTCTTCATTTCCATCATTTGGTATACGTACCTCCATACTGTATTGTTAAGAGAGGAATATTTTTATCAACTATTTTATAAATGCAGGTTTTTTTAGCATGAATTTAATTATGGAACATCTTCATCTCGGTTACTTGGACTTCAAAACCAACAAAACCAACCAACAGCAACAAAAAAAAAATCATTGTTTTTAAAATTTTGTGATTGTCATAGTTTGTATGGTACCCGGAAAGAATCAGTGGTGGTAGCTATTGACTTCTATCAGTATATAATCCCTTTGTGTGTCAGTCATACGGAATTCAGATTTTAATTTTACCCTTGTTATGTGTTGTATGGTTTCTTAACGTGGGGAGGTCTAAAAAAAAAAAAAATACACAAAAACCACAATTGCGTCAGACATTCCGGTGGTTCTGTGACTTGCTTTTATAAAGAAGGTGAGATATTTTCATGAAAAATCTTAAGAAGCTGGAAACTTGTTGTATCTCAAATGTAGTTTTATTTTGTCACATTTTGGAGAATAATATTAAAATATGTAATCATGTTTTTAAATGAAATACAAAAAAAAAACTTTTAAAAAAGAGAAGGACAGGTTTGACTGAATATACCCACTGTTAGGAATTTTGCTGGATTTATCTTAATAAAATGTCTCCTCAAAAGATCCATGATTTTGGGTTGCATATGTTACAACTTTCTGCCTTTGGGGTTCTCTTCCTTTCCCCTGTGTAGGAAAGGCAATATACTTATTGGGATTACATTTAATATTATTAGGGATTTGATCTTCGGTTCTTCATTTTCTTTAAAAAGAAGAATCATGTTTAATGTCTTTGCAAACCAAGGTCTCCCAACTATCCTGCTCTGAGCCTTGCCCCTCTTCATGTGCTCTGTCATAGTCACAGATCTGAATTTCAGTAGGACAAATTCTAAGATGACAACAAGTAGCGTTTTCTTGTGAATTGAGAAGCAGGAGAGGAAGAAGAGAGATGTGGCAGAAACCCTAAAAATTATTGGGTCAGGAAATACATTTAAAATGGTAAGAAACTTGTGGGTGTTCTCCTAACTGCTCTTGTATGGGGGGAGTTGATAGCTCATTCACAAAAATGGTTGCCATGAAGGGTTTGGCCATTCAAAAAAGGTGGCTATGCTGAAAGGCAAACTTATAAGGATATGTTGCAACACTCCCACTAACCATAAGGAGGCAGTCTTGTAGGGAAAGTCAATACCAGATCTGGTGCCTTGTTTTGAAATTTAGAAGGAACTTTAACAGGTGAGTCACGGAACCTGGTGGGCTCTAAAGGAGCTATCACCAGGCACCTTTGTATCCTCCAGCCCCAAGTTAAGAACTCTAGCTTTGGGGAATGGAAACCATTCACTTTTGTTCCATATGGGAAAGGAAATTATCAAATGATTGGATGAAACTTCAGTTTTATTCTAAACAGGAAACTATAATCTGCCATAACTGGGTTGTACTTTCTATTTGGTGGGTTAGTTTTACTTGGGAAGGGTTATGTGCAAGTTAAGTGAGGAAGCATAAGGAGATCAACAGAAGTGAATTCTTAAAAGTACAGGAAGGTCAAGGTCTTAAATAGACCCAGACAGAATTTTATGGGCAAGCCTATAGATGCCACTTTACTTAAGGAAAACAAACAATTCTGAACTAAGGAAAGCAGTTTATGGGTCAAGAAAGGTAAATTCTGCAATCTATACAGATTGGCACCTAATTCTGCAAATAAAATAAAAGAGATGTATACTGCAACTGTTTCAAGCACTCAAGATCAATATTCTTCCAGTCTGGTTCTTTCTTGCAGACATTACAGTACTTTAAAACAAAGTTTCAAAGTTCATAAGCTAGAAAGTTACTTTGTTTTCTTAACAGTCTCAAATATTTGGTTAATCACAGATTTCAACCAGGAACGTACATGCTTGCTTAACAATGGCTATAATAAATGACAGTTGGCTAGATTTGCATATCATACAGAGCCAAAATCAGATTCAACTTAGCATGATGAAGTAAGGCTGTGTCATTCTTAAAGTGACCCACTAAACATAAACTACTATTGATCTATTGATTTTTCTCTAAATGCGAATATTGTATCATTACTATTGCAAATTTTTAAAATCCAGCTAATAATTCCAGATAGCTACCATATTGGGTGGAAAAGATTGGGCTTTCATCATAAATACATCTAGCACATTATTTAAAATCTTGGGAAGAGATTTCCAGGTCATTCTGAGAAGGCCTAAAATTATATAAAAAATTTTTATCAGTGGCTGCCAGAACCAGCTATAATGAACACAGGAAGAAGGAAAATTAAGGAAGTTTACATGGCAAATAGATCACGTTAATTTTAGCTTTGGCCTGCTTGCTTGTATTGTAGCTAATGACTTGCTTATACTATCTAAAGTTGATTAAAACAAATGGCCTTTAAGAATATTCATAAATGTTTGAAACATCTGAAGCCCAACTTCTTGAAAGACGTCTAGCAAATCATTCTATACGGTGTGGGGAATGGGACAATGAAAATGCAAACTAGCGAAAATCTCTCAGCAGCTACAAAGCTGGAGGTGATGAGAACTGAAATTCAAGACTTCTGAAGGACAGTTGCTGAAAGTTGCTTTCAAAGATGGACGCATCAACCATCCTGCCAATTAATATAGGATGACTAACCTGTTAGGTCAGTGGCATGCATAAAATAGCATGCAAAGATTAAGCATGTGCCTTTTTTTTTTTTTTTTAAGGCTAGATGATCAGATTTATTCACATCATTCCTGCCATCTGTTTCTGCGTGGGCAAGCAGCTGCCTCTGAAAAGCAATGGATAACCCCCCTCCCCACTTTTCCCCCCAACACCGGCATTTTTCATGGCCGTAAGACTTTCAGCTTTGAATGCTGCTGAATCAATGGCAAGCCAGACAGATAAAAAAGTATATTGATAAGTGCTATTGCTTGCAATTGCCAAGTTTTTAAATTCTGAAAATTATAATGTTTGGAACAATTTAGATTCTGCATAATAGCAGATGTTTGCATATTTGGGGTCCATTTACTTCGTAGCAGAATCACTATTTTTTCCAGTTTGCACGGTGCTCCTTGTATTATTATGCTTATGTACTGCCAATGCTCTCTGCCTGCAATCACTGTTAATTTTTCACTCTTTCTTTTGGCTTCTTCAGTATGTAATCATATGAATGCATATTCAGAAGGAAGCCCCTCTATGTTTCCAATGAATTGAGCGTAGGATTGCAGACATCACTACGTGTTATTCAACAATCTTCTATAATGGAGCATCGTGCAGTATGGGAAAAAAAATGATCCAACCGTGGCTTTCCTGCCCTTGCATGTCAACACCTATCATTATTCTCAATTTAAGCCTGAAGGATTCTATGCCCAGAGTTGTATTTTCGAAGCTATTGTAATTGTGGATGCAGATTCTGGAGGCAGTGCATGGTAGGACCCTTGCTTTGGGATCGAATACCCCAGAAGTAAGTTACTCAGTGGAGTTAGAGCTCAGCTTCCTCCCAGGGAGCTTAAGGTAAAGCAGATTACGATATGGGGCAGGTACTGGTTGCACTGGTCCTCCTCCTTTCTCTTAGGCAGTTCCAATCAGTATGGGCAGTGTGGGAGAGATTGAGCCTGAAGCTCCTAACTTGTGGGGTGTCTCAGGGCTTGCTGCTCTTCTCGCCCACTTTGTTTAACATCTACATGATGCCACTGGGTGAAGTCATCCATTGTTTTGGGGCCTGTACACCTCAAACCAAAATGATGCTGTTAAAGTCTAGTTCCAGTGCCTGGAGGCTGTGAAGGCCTGGATGGGGAGGAACAGACTCAAACTCAAGCCTAGCAACACCAAGTGTCTATGACTCTTTGGGCCCCCTGATCCCAAAGACTTTCCATCTTCAGCCCCGGCGCGCAGCCTGTTTTCCCCCCTCTCTCCCTGAGCTCACGGTTCCTGTTCAAGGAGCAGGTGGTAGCTGTGCCCAGGAAGGCCTTTGCCCAGATCCATCTTGTTTGCCAGCTGTACCTTTACTTGTTTTGGGGCAGCCCTTGAAGATCTTTCAAAAGTTGCAGCTGGCCCAGAATGCAAGATTGCAGACAGTAACGGGCCTGCCACAGGACGCCCACATCACAGCCCTGCTCCGTAAGCTGCACTGCTAATTATGCAGCTTTACTAACGTTTTGATTTAGCTTTACATTATATTAACTCTCATTAGATTAACTCTACAAAGACCTTGGGTTTTAAAAGTCGAATTCCCATTTCAGTCTGTGATTTTTATATATATATATATGCACACAGACACGCACACTGTTACCGCAAAGTATACTGAACTAGCTTTGTATATGCTAATTGCTGCAAGGATATTATATTATTTTTACTGGAAAAATCATCTGATCCCCTCAATGGAATGCTGGCTAACCAAGCAGTGGGAATAAGCTTTGATGTCTAGAATATCTCCCTTTCTTAAAAGTAAATCTGATACGGAACTTAACTCAAATTGGAAACCATTCTTAGACCACAATGTAATACATGGATTTGTAGCACATTCAAAATTTGGGTTTTTCTCTGCATAAAGTCTATACTTCAATTTTACAGGATTTACAAATCAGAGCAGACTTTTAGTAACATGGATAGAATTTACTGAAGACTATAATCTCACTCAACCATTTATACTGGTATTGATATTCACACTTTGCTTAGCGCTTAGTAGTGATTTTTGTCTTTTAAAACAATATTGTACACTGTATTCAATTACTGATTAAGTAACTAATGATATATCAGAAAACAATAACCCCCATGACATTTGTAAATACGTTGTTTATTCATTCACTCATTTATTTATATTTTATTCTTTTATCTCCCTTTCCCAGTTGTGTTTGTTTATATATCTTCTTCTAAATGCTTAATTAAAAAATGGGCAGGGGGGGAGTTTAGTGGCATTGCCTGTAGATGTTTTCATCCATCTACGTGGTGATACAATGCTGTTTTGCAAGTTTAAGACAATAATGAGTATTTTCAGTCAAAAAGTGATAGAGCGCTGCTGAAGAATCTAAATACTTTGGTTCTAAGATGAGAGAGATATGAACTTAACTTAAAGGAGAGGATAAACTACAGAGCTGCTAAAACAGTTTATAACTTTCACAGCAGCTGGTTTGGAATATGAAAGGCAGCGTGTTCCCATTTCCGCTGTGCATATTTGTTTCTTAGCTAATATAAGGCTCCAGGCTAGAAACTAGGAGAAGACGGTGAGTTCTACTCCCGCCTTAGGCATGAAACCAGCTGGGTGACTTTGGGCCAGTCCCTCTCTCTCAGCCCCCGATGTCGGGCTTGGGTGACAAGCCGGTCGGTCAATTCCTGTCGCAACCAACTGATCAATGTTGGGTTGATCCAGGAAAAAAAATAAAAGTGGACCCTGCACATGTGGGAAAAACGCTAGGAAGAAAAAAAAATCCTGAACTGGACTGAAAGATTTAAGCTTCAGCACACGTCCTTTAATCGTTATTCGGACTTTAAATAATGCAAGGTAAGCTTTCCTGACAAGAGTTTTCATATAGGCTGGTTCTCCATTCCTGGTTCACTTGCAACGCCAGAGATGGAAAGTGACAAAAGCTGATGGCGCAAGAGATCAGTACAAACCAAGAGTGTTTGGGGGTAGGATTGAAACAGTGAGGAGGAAGAGGGGGCTTTTCTCTCTTTTTAGCTGCTGCTTCTCCTCCTTCAATTTGTCTCCAGTATTGAGTTTCCTGGACAAATGAAGAACAGCATCTGGAGGGAGTTGGCTCAGAGGAGAAGAAACAAACAGGGAAGGTCTATTTGCTTGGCTTTTCTTCTATACAAAAAGGCTTCCCTACTCTTCTACTTCCCACCCAAATCGGAGATCAATACTATGCACGGCTCAAGGTTTATCCGCAATGAATTCCCTGGTGTGCGTTGTGTGAGTAAGCCCTTTGACCCTATTCTATTGCTAATCATTTTATTTTCAATAGTAAAAACAAGTTCAGGTGCTAGGAAGAAGGTGAAAAAAAAAAACATCTTTCTTTTTTCCTTTTCTTAGTTTTGCTCACAAGTCCAGTATTGCCCATGGAAGTCAAAGCCAAAAAGGAGGCAAGATGGATTTTGAATTTTCCTGTGAAATGTTGGGTCAAACCTATCTACACTGCCGTTTGGGGAACGGTGATGCAGAGGCCCTGCAGAACTTAAGCTCTTCGATATTCCACTGCTTGAGCATAGCAGAATCTGCCTTGGGTTGAAGAGGGCCCCTCTTGATTTATAAACCTGAGGAACTAATTTCTTCATTAGTGTTTAGCTTGCTGTTCTTTCGGCAGTCACCTTGTTTCAGGAGGCAAGGTATAAAAATAAAACACAAGCCCTTTGTAGGCTTAATGACACTCCAGCTTTTCTCATGGCATTCACCACTAACCAGCTGCTATTCTCCTTAATGTATTATGGCATAAGGAAGATTGTAAGCATTGCTAATTATGCAACCATAGCAACTTATTTATTTAGCTTTTGATTAACTGTTGCCTATAGAGTTAGAAAAAAACGGCTTTAGTTTTAAAAGGTTAAAAAAATAGGCAAGAACCTTGAAGAAGTACTGTGGAAAGACTGTATTTGGAAAGGCGGATTAAACTCTAACACGACAAGAGTTCAATTTTCTTTACTTATCAGCTGTCACAACTCACAGAAAGGCTAGAAAATAGCAGGAGGGGTACATGGATCATTGTTTCGGTTTTGGTTAGATTTGAAAATATGCACTATTCTGGAGGAAGAAAGATCCATATGGCAAAGCTAGATGATAAATATACAACACGTGAAAGTTAAAGATGAGTAAAATCTGAATTTGGCTTGTATTCAAATATCCCCATCTTTCTTGAATGAGAGAGCAATGTTTTAAAGACACAGTACATATAGAAGCCTGTTTCTTGACTTCTATAGAGTAAGGAAATCTTAATACATAAAACTTTTTTAACGTCCTTGCATAATCTTATAATTTCCCATCTATTCCTCTTCAAAACAAATTATCGGGCATATTTATATCTATAAAGTATATGATTAACTGGGCAAGAAACATACTTAAAAAAATATTAGTCATCTATGAAATACACCAAGAATGTGCTACTCACTGAAGATTTAATAAAGGTAAAGAAGCAAGACTAGGACTTCAAAAGCAATACAATATGTACAATTTCAAGCAAGTTTATACAGTGAGCAGGAAAAACGTCCCTTCCTTATGAATATTTTTCCAGTGGATGAAAAATATTGGCTCAGCACTTGTCCTGAAGTACAAAATATCCCCAAAGAATGCAAGAGTCCTGTTGTAATCTTCTGAATAAAAAAAAACAGGATATTGAACATACCAGGAATCCTTTTTCCTAATGTTCCATTTACACTGTACAGATAGGAGAGGGGTTTCAACTATTATTACGCATACCTTAACAGCAATCTTATGTTATACAGTCAAGGGGGGGGGGAAATTGGCATTCGCTGATCCTGAAAAGTAGCTGTACATTTGCTCACTTATTTCTTGTGTGTTTTAGCTCCCTTCTTAATAGAAAAAGCTCCAGGTCAGTAAGAAGCAAGGAAGTTTCTGTCAGCAAACTTACAATTTAAAAGATACAACACAAAAGGAAGAATGCTGGAGAAGGAAGAGGAAAACAGCACAAGGTGCATACAACAAATAGCTGAGATGGAAATCATTCAGGAAGGTGAAAAGCCACAGATAGCTAAATTTCTATTGGTGATTCTCTTCCATCTCCCCATCTCCTGCACTTAATCTACTAGGCATTATTGCGTGGGTGCATGCCTTCGAGTGAGTGTTGACTCCTGGTGACTGCCTGGACCAGTCCCTGCAGTTTTCTTGGCAAGATTTCTGAAGTGTTTTGCCCTGGCCTCCTCCTTCCTAGAGCTGAGAGAGAGCAGCTGGCCCAAGGTCACCAGCTGGCTTTGTGCCCAAGGCAGGACTAGAACTCACTATCTCCTGCTTTCTAGCTTGGTGTCTTAACCACGGCACCCAACTGTCTCTCATTAGGCAGTATTACACAGATTTAAAAATAATGGAACTTAACTACCTGTGTGACATGAATTCAGAATGGATTTATATCTAAATACCCATATGAAATAAAAGATGTTTTGGTGAAAAAGTGTAGAATAAGAAATGTTCTTAATCATGCAATGAAAAGGTTAAAAGCCCAGTATTTGGGGTTTGATGCTTCAGCACATCCAGTTCCACACCTGAACGAATAACTAAGAACTGCAGAACTCTGTTAATACAGAATTTTAATCTCCAGGGGTTTGTTTTATTTCAACCCCACAAGCTTGAATTCAGCTGCTCTGTCTCTTGCACCAGAAACCTTATGGGCTTCGTCAAAACCTTGCTGGGATTTAGGATCTCAGGTTTTTATTCATCACAGCTTTGGCTGACAAAGACGCTCTTACATCACCCATTTGGAAGAGAAAGCTTCTGCAGCTGCTTGCATGATAAAATGGGGGGCTGAGTTAGTACCATTATTATTTTAAAATAAAACATTGTTTTGTTCTTTCAGCGCAATTTTCTTTTAAATTGCAAGCTTCTGGAAAAGGGTAAAGGGAAGAAATAAGAATGGAGCAGTTTCATCCACTAGGTTTTTATTTCTTCCTGGGGGAAGAAATAGCCCTATTACCCTGCATATATTCTAGTTATTATAGTACAGCAGGAAAAAAGCAAAGTGCAGTCACAGTAATGACAGATGGCATTTTAAAAGAGAGAGAGAAAGAAAGAAAGAAAGAAAAAAAGAGAGAAAGGATGGGTCAGACTCAAAAAACATTTGTTCCATTTCTGACCTCAGATCATGCCATGGTCCTAATTAGTCCAAAAAAGCACACAATTAAGCTGATGGTAAGGAAAATGAATGCATTTCCTCCACCCGCTGATGCGGAAGGGGCCACAATTTATTTATTTATTTGAGGATAACTGGCCCAGTGCATCCTGCCTCCCTTATCTGAGGCTTTTGGTTTTTATGTACACGATTATTGGGCGTCTGGAGAGGGAGGCCATTCCCAAGGTTCACCCCCAGCATCTCAGAGAGCTGCAGCGTCTTGAAGTATGCTGTCATTTGGAACCATATAATCAAGAATTTCAGCATTCAGAGGGGAACAGCAAGCAGCGGTACCTTTTAGCATCTTGAGATATTACTTGTTCAGAACAGAAAAACAAGAGGCACAGTTTGTCATGAAAACATGGCCTGCGCACAGAAAGGAGAAAGATTTCTGAGCGGATCTGAATTCTAAAGTTGAGGTTATTGTTAAAGGTTTACTTGATCCACCGTCACCATTCAGTCAAGGGGGTTGTGTTGTGAATCCTCTCCAGAGCCATTTTACATGAACTGAACATGATTTTAAAATGAATTGGAGCTGGAAGTACGGTAATAAACCTGAAGAAGGCTATAGAGTTTATGAAAAGAAAAGAAAAGAAAAGAAAAGAAAAGAAAAGAAAAGAAAAGAAAAGAAAAGAAAAGAAAAGAAAAGAAAAGAAAAGAAAAAAGAAAGCTGCATTCTGTAAGGGATTCTACTCTGTAGGGAACAATGGACGCATGCTGTAAGGCACAATCCAGACCTTCATATGGACTGCAACGTTATAAAATTTATAAAGTGAAGCATGCTAATACACAAGAGAGAGAAAAAGAGAAGTGTGGTGTAGGTTGGAGATCTAAACTGCCATCGTTTGTATATCCATTGTATAACAACAGAACTTTGTGATTTTCTGGATTTTTTCCCCCATTTTGTCTCTCATAGTTGAGGTATACTTATGATGAAAATTACAGACCGCTGTCCTCTTTTTAAGTGGGAGAACTTGCACAATTGGTGGCTGACTAAATACTTTTTTGCCCCACTGTATAGAGACTGATGAGAAGACACATGATAATGTGGCTACATATGTCACCATTCCATTTAATCATTTGAATGAAAATCCATAGGACGAATATATGCAAGGCAATGCCTTTAAGGTGAGGTCAGTAGTACAGTAGTTACCACTTGCCTACTAGGCAGAGTTTATAATGGTGGTGCTGACCTTTAAAACCATGTCAGGAACCTGCCTGGCCACTCAGGTCAGCAGCAAGGACCTTTTGGGAGACACCCCCCCCCCCCCCCGGTATCAAAGGTTTATCTGCCTGGTTTGCTAGAGAGGCCCTTCTCCTGTGGGGCTCTGAGACTAAGAAAGGCCCCCAAAGGTGGATCTTTTTGACCAAGGTTTTCACTGTTCACTGATTTTTAATCTGTTGATTTTAAAGCTTCATTTAAATGTTTTCTCTCAAATGTGAGTTGCTTTGAGCATCAGTGAAAATAAAAAGGCAGGGTACAAATTCAATAAATAA